CCTTCGTCAGGAAGAAGCTTCTTCCTGACGAAGGCCGGATTCCGGCCGAAACGTCGAAGATTAAATCGTCCGTTGTTGCTGTTTTCACTAAGGTTTTGTCTTCTCAGTTATATAGCCACGCCTTCGGCCTCCCGCCACCATGCCCGTTTTATATATATATATATATATATATAACGGGCATGGTGGCGGGAGGCCGAAGGTGTGGGTATAAAACTGTAAAGAAAAAAACCCTTAGTGAAAAACAGCAACAACGGACGATTTAATCTTCGACGTTTCGGCCGGAGTCCGGCCTTCGTCAGGAAGAAGCTTCTTCCTGACGAAGGCCGGATTCCGGCCGAAACGTCGAAGATTAAATCGTCCGTTGTTGCTGTTTTCACTAAGGTTTTGTCTTCTCAGTTATATAGCCACGCCTTCGGCCTCCCGCCACCATGCCCGTTTTATATATATATATATATATATATAACGGGCATGGTGGCGGGAGGCCGAAGGCGTGGGTATAAAACTGTAAAGAAAAAAACCCTTAGTGAAAAACAGCAACAACGGACGATTTAATCTTCGACGTTTCGGCCGGAGTCGGGCCTTCGTCAGGAAGAAGCTTCTTCCTGACGAAGGCCGGATTCCGGCCGAAACGTCGAAGATTAAATCGTCCGTTGTTGCTGTTTTCACTAAGGTTTTGTCTTCTCAGTTATATAGCCACGCCTTCGGCCTCCCGCCACCATGCCCGTTTTATATATATATATATATATATATAACGGGCATGGTGGCGGGAGGCCGACGGCGTGGGTATAAAACTGTAAAGAAAAAAACCCTTAGTGAAAAACAGCAACAACGGACGATTTAATCTTCGACGTTTCGGCCGGAGTCCGGCCTTCGTCAGGAAGAAGCTTCTTCCTGACGAAGGCCGGATTCCGGCCGAAACGTCGAAGATTAAATCGTCCGTTGTTGCTGTTTTCACTAAGGTTTTGTCTTCTCAGTTATATAGCCACGCCTTCGGCCTCCCGCCACCATGCCCGTTTTATATATATATATATATATATATAACGGGCATGGTGGCGGGAGGCCGACGGCGTGGGTATAAAACTGTAAAGAAAAAAACCCTTAGTGAAAAACAGCAACAACGGACGATTTAATCTTCGACGTTTCGGCCGGAGTCCGGCCTTCGTCAGGAAGAAGCTTCTTCCTGACGAAGGCCGGATTCCGGCCGAAACGTCGAAGATTAAATCGTCCGTTGTTGCTGTTTTCACTAAGGTTTTGTCTTCTCAGTTATATAGCCACGCCTTCGGCCTCCCGCCACCATGCCCGTTTTATATATATATATATATATATATAACGGGCATGGTGGCGGGAGGCCGAAGGCGTGGGTATAAAACTGTAAAGAAAAAACCCTTAGTGAAAAACAGCAACAACGGACGATTTAATCTTCGACGTTTCGGCCGGAGTCCGGCCTTCGTCAGGAAGAAGCTTCTTCCTGACGAAGGCCGGATTCCGGCCGAAACGTCGAAGATTAAATCGTCCGTTGTTGCTGTTTTCACTAAGGTTTTGTCTTCTCAGTTATATAGCCACGCCTTCGGCCTCCCGCCACCATGCCCGTTTTATATATATATATATATATATATAACGGGCATGGTGGCGGGAGGCCGACGGCGTGGGTATAAAACTGAGAAGAAAAAAACCCTTAGTGAAAAACAGCAACAACGGACGATTTAATCTTCGACGTTTCGGCCGGAGTCCGGCCTTCGTCAGGAAGACAAGAAACAATTCAGGAAGATATATATATATATATATATATATATATATATTGTTTCAGAAGCCCATTTGGGGAGTTAAGGACCCCTGCCCAACGAGAGACTAGTCACAATAAGGCTCCATAGGGCTTAAGCTAAAAAAACTAATTTTCTCGTTTATAATGCGATTAAATGAAAAGGTGCAAGGTCCGGGTATCGAACCCGGGACCCGGGTAGGATACCCGGATCAGGCGGATATATTCGCTGGCGCACCAGTCACCTAGCTGTGTTTGGAGATTTGCGTTTCTCCCTTCTCCCTCTTTTCCCCCTTCTCCAGGAATTATTTTCGCAATTTTCCCGCTTCAAAAAAGCTTTATTCTTAAGATTTCGTTTTTCGTTGTATAATTTGTTACAGGCTACATATAGCCGGAAAATACGTATTTTTTCGTCCGAACACCTTTTATTTTTCGTTTTGAAAACTGGACATTTCGAAATATGTTGAATGGTAGTAGTGAATCTAACTAAACTATTTTTTTCGCTTTAAGAAAGAATATATTTACTAGTACATATATATATATATATATATATATTATTTTGTAATTCTTTGTTGTGCGAATCGAAGACTTTACATAACCTTTGAGTTTATATTTTAGACCGACCGCCTTCGTGAGTGTTACTTCGTTTTAAGCGCAATGTTTCGCTAAAAGTTCAATATAGACTATATATTTTAGAAAACACTAAAACATTTTTATGTCTATAAAAATATATACACATATATTGTTTCCCTTAGAACTAATAACGCATATAATTTTTCAGTTTATTATAGTAGCGTGGTTTTAAACATATATTAGAAAACGTACTTTTAGATGCCCATATAACCCTGAGACATAGAATCAATAAAAAAAAAAAAAACTAACAGAACAGCGAAGTCTGAAACACAGCTTGAAACTTATATAAGAACCATTGCCTTATATACATGTTGCAGACCTCTTTCATTGTGGAACGATCTCCTCGTCTACTACACAGTGTACCCTAACTTTCAACTGATACCGACAACCGCACACAACCCCGAATCACAAAAGCATACACGCTCGCGTCCGGGAGTCCTTGCAGCTTTATCTGGAGCCATTGCACAACGTAGAAATGCCGGATTGTAATTAGAGGATCGGTGCTGTGCTTTGTACGCTTGTACTGTTTATTTTTGTTTGTTTATTTTTATTTCATTTTCACGTTTCCGCGATGCCCTAATTTTTTCTTCATTTCATAAAATAACTATTTCCAGCTTTGCATTACATTAAACACAAGGGAAATGCGTAGAGTGCTTTATTCAAGTGGCTTTTCAGATAGGCTGATCGCAAGCAGTACTTTTTCTAACCACACTTTGCTGTATTTCAGGTGTACTCATCGCAGCAGAGCCAAAGAACCTACTGTGAATTCTCCTTATGCAAACACGATATTGTTTTTTTCCGTTGAACACTACACTGGCGAAGTAGAAAGCTGACATCTTTTTTTATTTGCGTAGCTGCCGTACTTCAAAAGGTTATCTGAAACTAATGACTCTCTTCAATCACTGTCGGTTTTCTAAGGCCGATTCGAGACATTGTTAAAGCTTTGTTAGGAATAATATCGAAAGAGCTTTAGATACTTTGTTACATGTGGTTCACGCGAGAGCTTACTAAAATTCGAAATGTCTACGGAATTGTTACCGTCACTTGTTTGTGGTATTTTTTGTTTTGTTTTAGTATAATGTATGTGTTTCCGTATACTCGCGATATAACCGGACTTTGCCCATTCTAAGATACTCGCTTTGTAGAAAGATTAATGTATCGATATTCAAAATAGATACCATTTAAATCGCAGCATCCCCTCATCCGCAAAGTGATATCGCAGACATCATGGAACTTAGTACCCAACACGCAATCATTAGGTCCTGAGTACTTAAAGCGAGCGTGCTACAATTAAAAAAAAAAAAACTTGAAATAGAAAGAATAAAAAAAAAGAAAACAGGACTACGTTCACAAACAGAGTATGGTTGTCTGCAAACATACCCCTCTTTTTTAGTTTTTTGTTTTGTTTTGTTTTCTATCTCAAGCATTAAGTCGCATTTCGCCACATTTTATCGAACCTTCGAGAGAGATTAAACTGAAACGTATTATGTAAAATATACGTATATACATTTGTTTTTGCTGTTATCCTGGCTCTCGTTTATTAGTTGATGAAGGGGTGTAATGGACACCCCAGATTACTCACGACCAAAAATATTCTTTCGAACCATGGGCTTTTTTTTTTTTTTTTTTTTTTTTCTTCTTGTGGCAATATATTCTCTGTTGGCCGCCAAACGCGCCGCCAAGAGAGCTCTGAGAGGCCCTCGAAACAGGAACACTAATGGAGGCAAGAATCGCCGGGACACAGCAAAGACAACATTAAACGCACAATAATCTAAAAAAAAAAAAAAAAACGAAACGCCAAAACTTAAAAAAAAAAACGACAACTATATACTATGTTCTTTAGATAACTGATGTAAAGAAAGCACACACACACACGCGCACATACAACAACATAAGGGAGCGTACGTCTTTAGTTTTAAGAAGCTCTTGGGGCATAAAAATAAATAGAAGCCTGGATGGGGAAGAGTCCCGATAGCGCAAAATGGTTCCCTTTTGGGGAAAGGCTCTTCGGCAGCGCCTGACGCCCGATAAGGGAGATTTTTGAAAAAGAAGGGCGGCAATGCGAGGGGCGTGTCGGGGTCCCAGGATCCGACGGAGAAGCACGCTTCAAGGGGAAGGGGAGGTGATCGAAGATTGGGAATAATTGCCGACGTCGAGTGACGCGCCGCGATAAAAAGCAGCCGCTTCACCCCGCTCACCCTTCGCGACCACGGGCCAAGTAAGAGCGTCATTAAAAGCAGAAAGAGAGGGGGAGAGACTGAAAGAGTAGCCGCGATTGGAAGAGTGACGGATCGTGGCTGGTTTTTTGCCGGGTGCATGTGCTCGCCGAAGGCTGCTCATGGATCTTCCCCGGGCACTGCCGAGTTTAAAGCAAACTGTTTAACTCAGTAATAAGTGTCTCAAGGCCCGTCGGCCTCTCAATATCGCTGATTGCTTTTTTTTTTTTCTGGGAACTTTGAGACTATCAGTTGTATTACTACTAAAACTAATTCCGAAAAAAAAAGAACTTCGATTATATCTTTTTGGGGGTATTTGGTCCTGAGTTAGGGATCGGCAGAAGCGCGAACACGTAGACGTGACGCGCCTAGGGTGGATATCGGGCGTCCCAATGCCGGCCCACTTCTACCCCGCAGAACCCGTGGCGATGCAAATGCCCTCCATCGTGCACCGGAGCGGCCGAGTGCTCGCCGACCCGGGGCTGACCGCCGACCTCGTCTGTGTCGCCGAGGGCTTCCCGGTGCCGACCTACAGGTGCGCGACACCGATCCTCTTAAAAGGCTCTCGCCGTCGTCAAATGTTCTACTCAATATTTAACAAAAAAAATGTTAAAGTCGCTGTTACATTGTTTATGCGAAAGATAAGGTCGCCGCAGAAATGATTTTCTGCGGACACACCTCACTCATGTTCGATTCATGTTTGCTTCATGGATACTGAATGTATGCTTCGAACAAGTTTGCGGACCGTTTATGTATGACCAAACTGACAAAAGAGTCACCCAAGGAAGAAGCGTAAGTACGTAGACTAGGTGGCGCAAGCTACCACCCGTTAAAATGGGTGCTGCCATTAACATATATCCATCCTTCCATTCATCCATCCTTCCATCCAGCGCGCCACAGACAGTGTCTGCAGTCACTGTCTGAGGCATGATGTATTAACGGTGTGACCTCGGCTTCAAGTGACACTAAACTCTCCCTCCTCCCTTTAAAGAGAATGAAGTACCTGAATAGGACACGTATGTTGCAGAATAAACTTTCTTTTTAGAGCGCAGCTGTGTGGCGCCCGTTTCCGGCTTGAGCGGCGTCGCCGTCGCCGTTGCCGTCGCCGTCCGCGTAACCGCGCGGTGCATTATGGGAACTGTCCCATAATGCAACGCGCGGGGAGGAGGAGGAGGGGGAGAAAGGGGCGGAGGGGAGGGGAGGAGAGGAGGGGAGGACCTTGAAAGATGGGAGGAGGAGGTGAAGGAGCAGGAGGACGGGGAGGGAGGAGGAGTAGCAGGGTAGATGAAGAGGTGAGGAGGAAGGAAGAGGGGTGCACCCTCTCCTCAGTGCCCTTACTTCCTCCCCCTCCTCAAGAGCTGCGCTCTAATTCGGCGTTACAGGGTGTTGTGAACGTCTTTATTTTTTTGGCTAAACGAGTTAGCATTTTATTAAAGTCGCAATATCTGTTTTGAGCTATTCTAATCCACGCTGCCATATCGGGGTGGACGTCTCAAAGCAGACCCATATTTCGGAATTTCTCACAATTCAAAATGGGCCTCGCGACGTACATATTTCGCTAATTGTTCGTGTAATAACGATGTTTCTTTTGTGAAACATGTGTCGTATCTAGAAACTTTAAAAACGGAATTATGTAAATTTTTAATAATGAATCACTATAACAAACTTGCAACTTCGACATTTTTAAATCAAGACAACTTTGCGAGACTTCTCAGAATACTTCGGCAAATCTTGAATTGGGACATGCAACAAACAGCCATCTGTGAACTCTATGCTACAGACTATCAATATGTTGGAAAGTGCGCCGATTATTTAATGTAGCAAAACATTGTTCTATTTCTACCTGAGATATTTCGCAAAGCAAAGGCCCACCATTTTGCGAAGTCACTTGCACACAGGTTGTCCTTACAAAACAAAGCAGACGGTTTGTTTACGATTGTTTTTCCTCTGTATTGGAATAGCCCGTTCTTTGTTTACAAATTTTTGCTTAAGAAACCAGGTACGCTCATACGCAATTTTAGTATCATAAATGAGTCACCTATAGACACACTTGTGAGAAGTTTATTAGTTGAATTATTTATATCACAATTTTTTCTAGCAAATTGTAGTGGTGTACAGCATGTGTACATCATTTAAAAACAACGTGGTGCCGATCAAACACTGCTACTCTTGTGAGCCGATAGAGCGCATGAGTAAAAGCATGTGACAACTATTCGTGGAAACGGTACACAATAACTGCACTTTCTCATCTGATATTCTAAGACATTCTGATAAGCTCGCTCGGGTCTTAAGTTTTACTGTTCTTTCTTTTTTTAAAGCTATATTCAAACAAGGTATGCATTTCCTTATGCCGTCTTGCAAATAGCAGGTTTGTTGTAAAGATACACAAATGCTAAATAAACATACACCAAAATTTTGTTCGACACATTAAGTTTTTAGGAATGCATAAAGAGAGCTATTCTAGTTCCCTCTCCTGACTTTTATGTGTAATTGCTAATTTTACTTTTGTACTTTTAATTTAAAAGTTACGAAACGCGCACTTCCTAAAGGCCGAATCCGACATGACACGACCATATAATGCCACGAAATGTAAATAAATTGGTAACAATAGAAAATCACCAAGAACAATGAATTTCCGGATCGTATTTTGAGGATGAAAATTGGTGATGTTATAGCGAGCGAATAACACACGTAATAATCGTCTTAGACGCATTAAAAAAATGGTGTTCGTTAAAATAAACATGGCCGAGTACTCCCAAAAAACATGATGGCGTAACCCTACAACTCAACAAACTGCGTCACCTCTCCGAACACAAGGCATAGGGGCAACACCGACACTACGCAAAAAAGCGAAATCGCGTAAGTATTAAAAAAAAAAAAAGTCCTTTAATTTATTTGCACCAGATACATCGTGAGGCGTGATGTGAAAGAAGACATAAAACAAATATTCTCCGTTCATCGGGGTCACACTTTGCGACAGCTATCGACGCGAGGTCAAACTCATAAGCGACCATGCCGCGAGAACCTGAAAACTTGTGCTGAAGAGATAAACTCGCGTTTTCGATGTCGCGCGTTGAACGTCTCTAGCGGGTAACGCCACGTGTTCTCCAATAACTGCGTGCGATTAATCTTAGAGCTCGACTCACAGAACACGGTCGATAAACTAACCGACTGCGCTCATTACGTACAGATCTACAGAGCTGCCTCTAGTTTGAGGCGAGTTCAGACGCCTGGGCGTTGCTGTCCGTCGAGATGTCGCCGCTTTCTTTTGTCCAAGGCGCTGTTCCCCTTCCGCGCGCAGTTGGTTCAAGCGCCAAGGTCAGCGCATGACTCCGGTCGAGCCAAGTCTGGGCCGTCGACAAGTGGCGGGAGTGCTGCAGTTCCGCAGTGCCCGCGAAGAGGACGCCGGCACATACGTGTGCGTCGTCGCCAACAGCGTCGGAGAAGCCCAAGTCGACCTGGAACTCGTCGTGACACGTAAGCGGCACGTCCAACAATATCACTACACTGTAATCACTGTAAAAGTAATATACGCGTGTCTTGCAGAAATACCAGGATGTCGGCGAGCCTTCGAATAACTAGATGATACCTCGTAAAAAAGGGAAAGCTTTCAAATGCAGTGCTTGAGCGTACAATTATCGTGCACGAGCCCGAACCTGAATGTTCGATACACCAGGTAAATGATCGAGAAATAAAAAAAAAAAAGGAGTCACACTGTGCGTTTGTTATCGCGAGAGCGTTAAGGAGCTCGTGACTAAAAAAATCGGCGTCAGTGGGACGGAAAAATTTCGATTGGTCGATAGGGTCAGGCCATCCCAGCAACATGTCCTCGCACGGAAATTTAAAATAACCCATAATGCTCGCGTGAAACGTGACGTCGCGCGTGGAATGAAAGCGATTAAAGCATGACATGGAATGCGAACCAAAGGTCGCCACATGTCTCAAAAGATGGCACCTGCAATCTTTTGGGATGCGGGATTCGAACCCACGACCCTCCGGTTGCGCGCGAGACAAGCTACTGACTGGGACACGCAAGCACTTCTTTTTTCCTTCTTTTTTTATCGTAGGTTACGCAGACAAGCTTGCACGGCTTGAAAACGACCCGGATGTTATATTTTTAGCTATCTCTTTCCACTCTTAAAAGACCTTAAAGGCGAAGCTTAAGTGTCCTCCTGCAGTTTTGTACGGTGTATCAGCAGTTAGACCGCGCGTTGGGACTGGGTCTAAGAGAGCGGTCGCTGACGTGGCCCTCTCGCCTGTGCAGCCCAGGCCTGGGTGGCGGTAACTCCCGCGCACGTGCGGGCCGAGGTGGGTCACGCGGCGGCGTTCCGCTGCAACGCCAGCGGCCCGGGCCTGGAAGAAGGCAGCGTGGAGTGGCGCCTCAACGGCCGGCGGCAGGCGACGCGGTCACGTGTCCTCCACGTTGCCTCCATCCGCCGCCAGGACCAGGGCATGTACCAGTGCTTCGTGAGGATCACACCTCAGCGCACCGTCCACGCCGCCGCGGAACTCATCGTCGGCGGTAAGAACCCATCCGGCCGGTTTTCGGGAGGGGCACCAGCTCCGATTCGGGAGTCTGGGCTATTTGGGTAGAAAATATGGGTCCTTCATGCCCTTAGCGGTTTCTTTCAGAAGTGAGCCTGTGAGGACAACACTAACCTACATTGTTTGCTTCAGCTTCTCCCACATAGCTCGGTGGACGTAACCGAACGCTGAGTGGGGGCTCGGCCGGGCACGTGTTACATCAGTGTAGTACCGATTGAACTTAATTTTCAGTCAAACGCTAAGACAGCACTCGCGTTCAATTTGTGCCCAGCGCTCGATCGAAGAATATAACGTAAATAATGCAGCCCTCAGACCTTGTGCTGGGTAAGCACCCAGCTCTGTACAAAAATATGTGGAGCAATGAGCCTTCTATACTTCGAATTCGTCATCAATATTTTATTTCACCTTAGGTCAGAGCAGAGAGAACTCTACCAGCAAATGGGACCAATGAAGTTAGGTCAAAATTGCAACGTCACAACTGTCGTCAAAGTTTTGTGAGTGCGATGTTTGGTTAAGTCGTTCAAGCGCAGTGAATAGGAATGACCTTGCGCTTTTAGTCTATGTGTTAATGTTTGTATATCTTCTAGCCTTTTACTGCGCTCCGACTTGTAGAACAAAGTAAAGTGATTATATGTGAAGAGTGTCTGACTTGGCCACACACTTTGGGAAGAGTTTTAGGTTGCGGTTAGTTAATCTCATCGTACGTAAAATATGTATGTTTTGTGAATTTGACATTTCTAATCAAGCCTTACCCGCTGTAATGTTAGTTTATTTCTTTTTCTTTTTTTTTTTTTGTACCGTGCTTGTGTCAATTGATGTTTCTACAAAAAAGTTGTCATCGGATAACGCACGCGATCACTCCTGCCTGTGCTATCGCACTTGATTGACATTCAGCTAAGTTACATTAACTAATAGAATTGCTAGGAGGGCTAGTTGGCACGTCGCTCATGCAATACGTGGCATAAATAAACTTTTTACGGAAAGGGAAGAACACAGCGTTCCAATGTCTCCGTCTACGTTCCCGAGTTCTTGGCGCATAGTTTGTGAAAATAGAACCGAATCTGCGTGAACCGCAAAATACAATATATATATATAAAGGTAGACAGAGAGATATAAATAACTAAGAAAAACAAGACAAAGAAATTGAGAAAGTGATTTCGCCCAGGGGAACGGAGAAAAAGCAACAGAGGTACGCGGACGGAATCGACAACCCGATAATTATTCGGGGGCCCCCGATGATATCCCGAGTTAATTTGGACCTGACTGCGGGTGTTGGTCAAACGATCGGCCCTCTCTTCCCCACCGAACCCTCTCGCGCTCTTCCTTCGACCTCGCTGCATCGCTGCGTTCCAGGGATCGACTGACGGGAAAGGAGGGCCCGGGTTTGTTTCACCGTCAGCAGGTTCAAGCCTCGAGGGAACGCGCTGCAAATGACCTCTCGTTACCCGCAGTCCAAACGGCGGCAAGCCTCTAGGGAATAAGAAGGAGCAAAAAAACAAAACAGTCGGGGCATCCCCACTTAACGGTCGTGGGAGCTGACCGCTCTGATTACTCGGGCCGATAGAAACGAAATGAACGACATTTTATGTTTAGGAGAATCCCAAACGATTCTCTTTTGTTATATTTTACTCTTTTTTTTGCGTGGGTTATACGGCAGGGCCCCTATTTGAATTGCAAAGTAAAGTTAGATGTCAGGAGTCGTCGCTATTATAAGGAGTACGTGTTAGCTTTCACCGTGAATGCAGCAAACTGTTCGCCACCAGAGATAATAAGAGAAATTGTTCAGGCCGCAACAATGTTAAGTGGTCAAAGGTTTGCCTCGCCAGAAAATATCAGTGAGAATAGAATTATTGTGTTTTTCAGTTATGCATTGAAGTACCGATTCTTCGTGCAAAAATAATGATCTGGCTATAATAATTGACAACCAGGGGTTCAAAGCTGGACGTTCCTCCTGAAAGTCGGAAAGGTTTATGACCGCCGCGAATGGCCAGCGCCATGTTTTACCTTGGCGAGGTCAGAAATCTCACCGACTGTCCAGCGTAGAGGCCCTGATCGCGACCTTTGGCCCGTATATATATATATATATATATATATATATATATATATATATATATATATATATATATATATATATATATATATACATATATATATATATATATATATATATATATATATATATATATATATATATATATATATATATATATATATATATATATATATACTATATATATATATATACGCCGACTTTCTCACTGACTGTCCAGCGTAGAGGCCCGGATCGCGACCTTTCTCCCGCGTTCTTAGTTTTTTCCCGCCACCTGCGATACAGTCATATACAGACATTTACATCTATTTATACACCTTTATGTAATGACCATCATTAGTTTGTCTATGGAGATATCAAAGTTCTCGAAGCACTGGTTCCATCTTTCAGGAAGTTCTCCACGTAAAGTTTTGCTATGAGGGCGTTTTTGTGTCTTGACTCTCTCTAGTTTGTCTATAGATTCTCGAAGCATTTTGTCCACCTTTTATCAAGGTCACCATTTTTTTTTTTTGCTATGAGGGCGTTTTACGTGCGGAATTTAGAAGCTAATGTAAACATGTATTTAAATCTAATTTTAAATCTAAAACAAAATACGTGAAGTAACTTACTCAGGCACTGACAAAATAAACACCGGTCGCAATGGTTTCAATAAATTACCAATTAATTCCACTTTCTTTCGCTCGCTTTAAAAAAAATAATTATTTACGTTTGTAAGAGTAACGTAATAATCGTTTTAATTATGTCGTCACTATCTCGGCAGCGTGTCCTTGGTGCGTGCGCCGATGACACAGTGATGACGGGACCGAAATGACTCCGTCACTCTTTTAAGCTTCGTTGCGAGCGAGGCTTGCCGCGTTCTTTTGTCGCGAAATTTTTAAATCAGGCAAAAGAACGCCAGAATTGATCACGTAATAACCAAAACATATAAAATGGTGCAAAAAAGAACAAGGACAAGAAGTATACAATATTTTAGTTTATAAATATTTTTTTTTTGTTTTACTAAGATGAATGAACTATCCCAACAACGTACCTTACTATAATAAACAAAAAAAACCTTAAATTTTCGCAAATGATTTAAACTGGTTTAGCCTTTAATTGCAATTGCCGTCACAGCAATGCCACCGTAACCCCTAAAACGAATAATTAAAAAGTTAATTAAGAAATTTAATTATTCAGTCAACTTACCGTCACGATTAACCCCTCATATAATGTCCACTGAGCCTGATAAATAGACGGAGAGGACAGAACTCCTCTAACTCTCACCCCCTATTTATAAAAAGATAATTTCAATTTAAAACAAACACCATTCATATAAATAATAAAAAAATGCAACTACACCTTGATATTCGTTTTTTTTTTTTATCTTCAGAAAATGAAATTTTAGCTATTTTTTTTTCTTTTTTGACAACTATACTTTTTGCGAACATGGTAGCGTTTCTAGACATGAGCGAAAGGGAGAACAGGACAACACAGCACGCTAACTTCAACCATTATTTATCCAGAAAAACATGGGCATAAATACACTGCGCCACCGCGCCACTCAACCAAAACCCTACCTTGCTGTTGTCCGCCAGATCAATCGAAAACACGTTGAAGATCGCCGTAACGTTTTCTCATTTCTGCCTCCCTGATTCCTCGTATCGTTTTATCTTTGTCTACTGATGATCGTGGATGACTTGAACTCAGGTTTGCATCCACAGTCATGACGGTGTGTCGACAAATGGACATCCCGTTGACCACTCTTTTCTTGGTTGCGTTCGCGCAATCTATCATTGAAACATCTTTCCATCTGTCCCACGTATTTCCTGCCACACGTCAACGGGATATCATAGACTACTCCTTCCGCACATGCTACAAGAGGGCTGCGATGCTTTTTTATGCAGCCTAACGGGAGTTTGCGGAAGGGCGCCGTCAGTCTGCGCCTCTTGGAGTGTTTCGTCAAATAACTCCCCCCCCCCCCCCCTGCTCCAAATCAACAACAGCAGCATGGCGTTAACGCGGTTTGCTACCTTCTTAAGATTGTGTGCGGTTTTGTGCATGTATGGTATAACCGCACTTTTTGTTTTTTTCGTGTTGTGTCTCGATCTGGACTGTCCTCTACTCGTAGCTGCTTTAAACCCCTTTCGGCAACCTAAACCACGCGAGACTCCGGAAAACTGGCCACCATCAGGCGTTCCGACTGTTCCTTCAGGCCTGGAGGTATCACATGCTGACATGAATTTCTTAGGGCGTTCATAAAGCATATACAATTCTTTTCTTAACGAGTTTCTAAAGGGAGGAGCTGAAAAGTAACGGTGACTTATCGGCACTGGGGTGTTACTTTCAACACGCATGTTGCTCCAGAAGGGTAAGCTTGATGTCTAAAAACGGTGTGACGTTATCCACTGGTACCTGGTGCTTAAGTTGAAGAGCATTTAGGGCATTTATAAAGACCGTTAAAAGGCTCTCCTCCGCCAAGGGGAAGTGAGAAATATCGTAGTCAAGAAAAACTAAATTATCATCCACAAATCTAAAGATCTTGTTTCGATAAGATCTATCCGGGCGTTCGAAAACGATTCTGTCACGATAGGCGAAGCATATATTGCTCGCAATTGGCGTCAAACGAAAGCCAATACATATCCCACGCTTCTGAATAAAATTACCGCTATTCCACTCGAGAACGGTCGTGTTAATATAAGAAGAAAGCTAATCGAGAATGTCACACAGTTTTTAGACAACAAGCTCACCCTTTCGGAGCAATACGTGTGTTGGAGGTACCACCCCAGAGCCATTAATCCGCTGTTACTTTTCACATCCTCCCATTCGAAACACGTTAACAAAGGAATTGCGGCGTGTTGGTGTGACCATTTTTTTTTTCGTTTTGAGTTGTGTGTGAAGCGATGCAATATTGTGTGGCTGGCTAACTGTGACGAAGAGATAAGGAACAC